TACACTCGTCCCTAACATAAACTCTTTTTTAAAGATTTTTTTTTATTGGAAAGGCAGATTTACAAAAAGAAGGAGAGGTAAAAAGGTCTTCTGTCCGTTGGCTCATTCCCCAAGTAGCCACAATGGCCAGAACTGAGCTGATCCAAAGCCGGACCTTCTTCCAGATCTGCCACACAGGTGCAGGGTCCCAAGGCTTTGGGCCGTCCTCTTCTGCTTCTCCAGGACATAAGCAGGGAGCTCGGAGGAAGTGAAGCAGCTGGGGCATGAACCAGCATCCATGGGATCCTGGCGGTTTTGCAAGGTGAGGATTTAGCCACTAGGTTTTCGCATGGGATCCAACATAACCTCTTGAAAACTAGTAGGAGCTTGGTTCAGAAAACTACCTTATAAACACAGGAACACACTCAATGTCCTTTACATCAGCACTATTCTAGCCAGGTGCCAAATTCTGCACAGCCAAAGCAGGTTTTACACACACATAAAGCCTGCACTCAATCACAATCACAGTAACAGCCCTCCAAACACACCCATACAGAAAACACTCCCATTCTTTCTAACCCACACGTGCACAGTCACCCCACACTGCTGCACAGGGTGCACAGCTCGGAGCCTGACTGCTTTGGCCTTGTTTACAAATCCAACACCTTCTACTCTGATTTTGATCGTGAACTGGACAAAGTTACTTCAATATACAGGGGGGCACTGGAAGGAAGCCCTGAGGTTTAAGCTATTTAGCAAGCTTCCTGTGAAAAATGCAATTGAAAGCTGGAAACAAAAGTGTTCAGGCTGCATGCCCCATTCTCGCTGTAAGGCTCTAAGAGTAAGCAGCTCTACAGGGGAAGAGGGGAAGTGGTTAAGTGTCAGCGTAGAATCAATGAATAGGTTCCAACCAAGCACACGTAACTGAAGACCCAGGGGGAGAACAAAGAGAATGAAACAGAAGAATATTTAAAGAAACATTAGCTAAAACTTTAACTAAAATCACAGTGACAAGAGATCTCAAAATCTCAAGAATAAAGAAAACTTTTCTGAAATCAAACATTACCAAAAGTGACAGGAATCAACAATAAGACTGACAGCTGACGCTGAAACAGTGCAACTAAAGCTACAACAGTCTCATAATATCTTCAAGGTGCTGAAAAAAATATCAAACTGCAATTTTACACTAGATAAAAAATAGCCAGCTACTATTGAAACGAGTTTACCCTATCCAACCATAACTCCAAAATTTTAAATGTCCTGTTTATTTTGAGATTATCCCATATGACATTACTTATGACTACGGAATTTATTTTATAACAGAAGTGAATCAATAGGATCATATCCATGAATTCACCATGTTTTGGGTATACTCCCAGAAGACAACTGATCATATGCAGATGAAAAGTTCTGAAACAGACACAATAAGGATTATCTAAGAGGAATAGTATGTGATATTGGTGATTATTCTGTATATTTGCTCTGAACAAAAGATCAGCACATGATGCTACATCTCCAAAATCTTATACATGGATTAGTTCAGGAACCAAGGGTAGGAGGAGGTCAGATTAGACATTCTCAGTGTTTCACCACAATTTCTGGTTTTCTGCATTAGAACTTCGGGTTCTTCTACAGACAGCAGTATTTGATAGGATGGAAATTCTTAATCTCTTTTTGCAATGGTTTTTGGTTCCAGTTAGAATATATCTTCCAAGGGTTCATGTGTTGGAAGCATGATTCTCAGTCTTACAATGACCAGAGCTGGTGAAATGCGTAGAAGACACATTGCGCTAGGTACTACTTAGGTCATTGGAGGTGCCACCCACAAAAAGGATTAACAGTTCTCACAGGATCCCAGTTACTTTCAATGACAGTAGATTCTTGTAACAGGGCAAAATCAGGGATGCAGTTGCGACAGAGCAGATTGAGCTGCTGCCTGCAACTCCAGCATTCCATCATAGAAGCTGATTCGACTTTCAGCCCTTCACTGCCAATCTGGCTCCCTACTAATGCGCCTGGAAAGGTGGCAGAAAATCACTCAAGTGCTTGGGCACTCACGTGGGAGACCTAGATGAATCTCCTGACTCGTACCTTTAGGTGGGCCCAACCCTGTACACTGTAGCCATTTGGGAAATAAGGCAGCAGGTGGAAGATCTCCTGCTCTTTCTGTCTCTCTGCTCTCCACCCTGGCCCTACCAATCTCTGTAAATTTGCCCCGCTTCCCATCCAGCTCCCTGCTTGTGGGCTGGGAAAGCAGTCGAGGATGGCCCAAAGCTTTGGGACCCTGCACCCGAGTGGGAGACCCAGAAGAAGCTCCTGGCTTCAGATCAAGTCAGCTCCAGCCCTTGCAGCCACTTGAGAATCAGTGAATGGAAAAGATCGCTTTCTATCAATCTTTCTAAAAATAAAAAAAAAAACAAATCTTCAAAAAAAGAAACTGTTTGGAGGTAGTTATTACCAGTAATAATCAGAGCACTGAAATTTTTCTTAAAAGGAACTATCATGAAGTTAAAAAGAAAATGCTTTTCAAAGCGGGAACGATGGAACAGGTTGCAAGGGACGCACCGATGTGAGATTGTCCCCTCTTTTATGTTTTTAGCTTTGGAATCACAGAAGTGTTTTACATTAAAAAAAAAAATCAAATCTGGACCCAGTGCAGTAGCCTCGTGGTTAAAGTCCTTGTCTTGCAATGTGCCAGGATTCCATATGGGTGTGGGTTCAAATCCCAGCAGTCCTCTTACAAGGTGAGGACTTTAGCTGCTAGGCTCGCAAGTGATACCACACACCTGCCCTTGTATTGCCTTTCTGACTTGTATTCTTGGGTGCTTTCTGGTCTTGGGGGTATTGATTTGACTAGTCCGATTTTGTTGTTTATACCAGAGCTAACAACATAAATACATAAGCTACAGATGACATTTAATTTTTTAGGAGTCATATTCAAAAATACAATGAAATTAATTTTACTATATTTTAAATACAAAATATATCAGAACACAATGTATTGAATAAATATCTCTAAAACATTTTAATATGCACTTTGGGAAACTAAAGGACTTGATATCCTTTATAAAAACTGAGCTGCCAAACTAAGAGAGTTTTGTTTTACATTTAACTAATTTAACTTGGACTGACCACATTTGAAGTGTTTCCCACCTCAATTTTTAAAAAAAGATCTATTTATTTTTATTGGAAAGGCAGATATATAGGAGGAGAGACAGGGAGGAAGATCTTTTGTCCAATGATTCACACCCCAAGTGGCCACAACAGCCGGTGCTGAGCCAATCAGGAGCCTGGAACTCCTTCCAGGTCTCCCACACAGGTGCAGGGTCCCAAGGCTTTGGGCCATCCTCAACTGCTTTCCCTGGCCACAAGCAGGGAGCTGGATGGGAAGTGGCACCACTTGGATGAGAACAGGTGCCTATATGGGATCCCGGCATATTCAAGGTGAGGACTTTAGATGCTAAGCTACTGTGCTGAGCCCTCCTACTTCAATCTTTGTGGTCACCATGAGTACCATCTCTGACACTGCAAATCTTGTCCATTAATTTCCACATTTAGTTATAGGAAGCTTTCTTTATTCATTCTTTGAACACGAAGAGATTACTATCGGAAAGGTGCTGTACTAGATACAGAAATAAGACATGAAGTAGGAGGGTGCCTGGACCCCAATCTTAACTTTCTGAATACATTACAGTTTATTTCATATTCTAACTGTTGAGCTTTGGAAACATCCACAGGTTTGATATATAGGCACTTTCAAATAAGCCACACTTCAACTTGCTTGTACTTTTAAGTTTAATTTAATCCTTAAAAGATTATAGAAAATGCTTAAACATAAAAAACTCGTAAGAGAATAGCCAAAGTAAAACAAATAAAACCTACGCACCCATACTCAGTTTACCACAATTCTGCCAAACTTACCTTTCCCTTTGCTTTTGCATAAGCATTTAAGGATAATTTAGACATCATCTCTCCCATGTATAATATTCAGAATCTCTTCTAAAGACATTTTAAAAGCATACCATAATGCTACTATCAGACCCAACAGAAACTTTGTCTAACCCTATTAACATTCCTAATTTTCCAACTGTAAAAACACCTTACTTCACAATTTGTTCAACTTATAATCTAAGAATAGACTTTTCACTATAATCAATTGGACTTTTCACTATAATCAATTGATGTCTCTTAATCTTTTTCAATAGCTAAGTGTTCCACTCCCCTTGTTCAATGTCATTTTATTGGTTAAGAAACCATGTCATTCCTCTTGTAGAATTATCTACAGTTTAGATGTAATTGCTTCTTTTATGCCATATGATTAGTTCTTCCATTCCCCAATTTTCTCTGAACTTGCTATTAGGTCCTGAGGCTTAAATTCTGGTTCAACATTTTTGGCAAGATCTGTATATCCTGAAACACACAGGAACGTTTTACTGTCCTACTTTTTGCAAGGTTAAGATGGATCAGTGTTCAGATGATTTGACTCTGATCAATAATTCATTATGAGAACCATGTGTAGATCTATTATTACACTACACACAATGATCTTAATAGAATTCTCTAATTCTACTTCTGCATTCATTAGCTAGAATCCTGTAATAAAGAAAAATTTTACCTCACCAACTTCTGGTTGTTCTGGAATACAGTATATATTGCAAATGCAGCCTACATGTCTTTTCTTTCCTTTTATTCATCAATTTTCAGGATGAGTTTTACCCTGGCAATCTCCATTAAATATAATGGATGGAAGATTATAATGATGACAATAGGTAAGACAAAAAAAATTTCCACATTCATTCCTTTAATAAACTTGCCTTCTAGAATGACTTCCTAAAGTTCAACATGGTATTGGCGACAGACTTCCAAATATTCATCAGCATATTCTTCTTTTAAATAAACCTCTTACGCTTAGTTTTGAGCATGAAGTAAGAGATTCCCACATTCTAAACTTTCCCTTCGGAATTTATTTTCTAATGTTCATTAACACAAAATTAACAGCAAGATTCTTATAATTAAGTTACATTATGAATCCGTTGATGATACGTAAGGTGTGAATGTTGTCTGAATGCCTTCTTACATTCCTTACATTTGTAGGGTTTCTCACCAGAATGAATTCTCTGATGCTGAGTAAGCGAAGAATGAAGTCTGAAAGCCTTTCCACATTCTTTACAGTCATAAGGTTTTTCACCGGTATGAATACTCTGATGTTGAGTAAGCTGTGAGAGCAACCTAAAAGTCTTCTCGCAATCCTTACACTGATAGGGTTTCTCACCAAAATGAATGCTCTGATGTTGAGTAAGTTGTGAGAATAGTCTAAATGCCTTCCCACACTCCTTACAATTATAAGGTTTCTCTCCAATATGAATGCCTTGGTGGGAAATGAGTTCTGAGTAACGACGAAAGAACTTCTGACACTCTTTACATTCGTAAGGTTTCTCACCAGTGTGAATTCTCTGATGGAGAGTTAGATGATAGCCACGACTGAAGGTCTTCCCACACTCCTTACAATCATAGGGCTTCTCACCAGTGTGAATTCTCTGATGGAGAGTCAGCTGCTGCCGCACTCTAAAGGCCTTTCCGCACTCTTTACAGTCAAACGGTTTTTCACCAGTATGAAGTTTGTGATGTACTCGAAGGCCTGTACTACACAGAAAAGCCTGCCCACATTCCTTACACTCATAGCGCCTTTCAGCTGTGTTGAGTCTCTGATGTCGGGTCAGGTGTGCATACTGCCGAAAGGTCTTCCCACATTCCTTGCATTCATAGGGTTTCTCACCAGTGTGAATCCTCTGATGAAGATTAAGTTGTCCTCGAACTCTGAAGGCTTTCCCACATTCCTTACATCCATAAGGTTTCTCACCCGTATGAACTCTCTGGTGTACTCGAAGGTCTGAGCTACATGTAAAAATCTTTCCGCATTTCTTACATTCATAGAGTTTGTCAGAAGCGTGAATTCTCTTGTGCCGGCTGAGGTGGGCACACTGCCTGAAGGCCTTCCCGCACTCTGTACACTGATAAGGTTTCTCACCCGTGTGAATTCTCTGATGAAAAGTAAGTTGCTGGCGGACTCTGAAAGCCTTTCCACATACCCCACATTCATAAGGTTTCTCTCTGTTATGATTTTTCTGATACAGAGTGAGAGAAGCTAGTTTTCTGTAAGTGGGTACTTTTTCAGGGGTGGTTTTTGTCACTTGCCTGAAACGTACCTTGTAAGGACCATCTTGTCCTTCAAACTTTTTATATGCATCATCGTTTCCAAGAAATCTGTCATCAAGACCACGACTTCTAATTTTTTCTATTATTTCCCACTGAGATAAACTCATTTCATATTTATCTTTTTCTTGAAATAACTTTTTAGTGTCATACCTGGATTCCAAATCTAAAAGAAAATAAGAAACACATGGTATATTATTATTCTAAAAACACAAGGAAGCAAATGAAAATCTGTTAATAGAAAAAAAAAAGCATAACATAAAATAAAGGCCACAGTGAGTTTAAAAATCTAAAACACTTATGATAGATATCACAAGAGGAATAAAAAAAAGATGAAAGATAATCAAATTACTGGATGCAAAAAAAGTTTGAGAGTCCCAACTCACGTTTTTAACTATAATAAAGTGCAAATGGCTTTGCACACTTTCTATTTACCATAAGCCATTAACTCCAGTCATTCTTTCCTTTGTTCCCCATTTGCCTCCTATTTGCCTTCCCTGGGCTCCTACTACACGTCATATGCTTGTTATAGCCATTCACTATTACATTCTCTAGTAATTCTATCTTGGGTTTACATGGTAGCTAGGTTTCTTTCACACATTACGCATCATCTTTCAACTTATAAAAAAAAATTTTTATTTGAAAGGCAGAGTTATACAGAAAGGAAGAGTTTCCATCTATTGGTTCATTCTCCGAATGACCACAACAGCTAGGGCCGGGCCAGGCAGAAGCCAGGATCCAGGAACCCTATTCCAACTTCCCACATGATGGAAGAGGCCCAACTACTGCGGCCGTCTTCTTTTGTCTTTTCAGCTAATTATCAGGGAGCAGGACTGGAAGCAGAGCAGCAGGGCCTCAAACGCTGCTCATGCAGAATGATGCTGCAGGTGGTGACTCAGTCCACTAGGCCACAGTGCCAGCCCCACATGTAATAGTACAATTAAGAAGAACTGCCCGCGCTAACTTTAATTTATGTCCTTTATTTTCTACACCAATAGCTTATGTTTGGCTACCCAACACTTTCCCCAATCTTGGTACTCACTAATTTCCTCATTTATTATTCTCTTTAAATGTTTGTGTTTTAAGATTTTATTTATTTATGAGAAAGGCAAATATAGAGAGAAAGATCTTCCATCTGCTGGTTCACTTCCCAACTGGCTGTAACAGGCAGAGCTGAGCTGGAACTGGGCTGATCTGAAGTCAGGAGCCAGGAACTTCTTCCAGGTCTCCCAAAGAGGTACAGGGTCCCAAGGCTTTGCCCCATCCTCTACTGCTTTCTCAGTCCACAAGCAGGGAGCTGGATGGAATCCCAGCTGATGCGAGGCGAGGATTTAGTCACTAGGCTATCACACTGGACCCTCATTATTCTATTTACTTCCCTAAAACTTCCTCAAATGCAGAAACAAATTTTCATTTACCACTTAGTAACAAATCAATAATAGTAATAATAATTAAATTTCTATAACTAATTAACAATTATTGGATATTTTCCCCTGACTCCAAGTATATCTTCTTCCAGTGACTAAATATTCTTTTTTTTTCCCCCTACAGAAATATAAAGCAAGCACATCTCAGCTATGAGGCATATATGAATATAAATGGAAAGCAATTTATTTACAGTTAACCATTCTTCCAACTGTTTCTTCATTTACACACGCTGTATCTCCCCTCTTGCTCAATTGTTACTTTGCACTGTCATAACACAAATTTTGCTCTCGGCCTCATTTCAAAACCAAGGTAAAGAGCAATTCTATTTGAGAATAGAATTAGTCAGAACAACGGTTTAGTCAGTTATGCTGCAGCCTGCAATATCAGCCTCATATGTGTTAGGATCCCAGATGGGCATGTTCATGTCCTGGATGCGACATTTCCCATCCAGCTCCCTGCCTGTGGCTTGGGAAAGCAGTCAAGGATGCCACAAAAAGCCTTGGGACCCTGCACCCACATGGCCGACCCAGAGGAAGCTCTTGGCTCCTGGACTCAGCCTTGGCCATTGTGGCCACTGGCGGAGTGAAACAGCGGATAGAAGATCTTTCTCTTCCTTTTGACTGTACATCTGTCTTTCCAACAAAAACAAATAAAACCTTGAATAAAAAAACAATCTGCAGGGGCCCAGGTAAAGAAAAAAAAATTTGTAAAATTAAGTTTATGTTACGCATGGCAATACATTATAGCTGTTGCAGGAATTGAGGCCCACATGGCTCTCTTTCTTGACCATCCTGTCTAAAGTTACCCCCACTCACTCACTCAGTATCATTCTTCATATCCTTGCCTTATTTGCTTTTTTTCATAACATTTAATCACTTCAGGATGTTTAGCAATCCATCTATTTGCTTACGTTTTTACTGTATGTCTCTCTACCATGTAAACCTCAGGGAAGCAATAAAGACAAAACCCATAAAAGTCAAAACAGAAAGGAGGAGTTCAGCATCTAAATTAAAGTTACAGGTGCAACGGTTATCACTGAGGAAGAAAGTTCTTCCCTGCGGAAATGGAATGAGGCTACCCATGCGAGAGAAGAAACAGGCGGTCCATGGAAGCACGACTAGGTTTTCATCTAGATGGAATCTCCCTGATGGCTCACACTGACAAGTTCTGTTTTCTTACCAAGTTTCAGGACTGTTCTACGTAACCAACTCTTAAGAAGTGTGTTCCTCCTCAACAAGCAGGTCAGTGCCCTGCCACTGGCTGGCCTCTGCTTGGTGGCAACTTACTCACCTAGGCGCCATCTTGTTTTCTCACCCCTCACAACCAGCCAGGGCTCCTTTCCCTGTTCCAGTAGAGTAATCACTTCTGGCTTAGAAACGGAACATCCTGTTTGAAAGGAAATAACAGAACATAAAAACGGAAGTACCTGATCATGTGTTTAGAACAAAAATAGCTATCAGGATTGAAAAACGCTACAGTCACTTTAAGATCACAATGAGAAATGAGATCAGGGCGGTAGGGACATGGTTTTTATTTTAATTGAAACTTATACAGGCTGCCTTTTGAGAGTGATATTTGAAGGCAGTGCTTTCAAATTCTGCCTGCTACTGAGTCACTAGTGCAAATTATTTAATCTCCCTGTGCTTCGATTTTCTTCATTGTAAAAGAGTGGATAATAGTATCATGTTATTATATACAGGATTGTTATATGGTTTAATTTAATATAAGTGTTTAGGACAAAGTAAGTACTATGTATTTTAGGTGCTATTTACAAATATTTTGTTCCGGAGAAAATAATAAGCTTGTTGCTAGGATATTCATTCAATGTTTAATGCAAAGTTCACATATTTTAAACTTTCAATCACAGAGCAGTGAAGAGATATTTGTAATAAGAAATTAAATAGGGCCTGGCAGAATAGCCTAGTGGCTAAATCCTTGTCTTGTATGTGCTTGTATGACGCTATATGGGCGCTGGTTCATGTCCTGGCTATTGCACTTCCATCCAGCTCCCTGCTCCAAGAGCTTCTCTGTGTCTCCCATGTGGAGGATCCCAAGGCTTTTGGGACATGCTCTACTGCTATCACACTGGGCCTTTTAGCTGGGTTTTAAACAAGAAGATCAGGAATTCAGTACAGTGAAGTCTCTAAATTACTTAATGCACATAATCTTACCCAGGGAGACCAAGTTGCTGTAGTTCTCTAATATTACATCTCTGTACAGATTCCTCTGGTTTGAGTTTAAGCATTCCCACTCTTCCTGAGAGAAGTCCACAGTCACATCTCTGAACATCACCAAATCCTGAAACGACAAACCCATGTATTGTTGGTAAGACCCAATCAACTGTTTTTAAAGTGGAAGGATTTTTCAATGAATAGGCTTAGCAGCCCACGATGAGGCTAAGTAGCAGTAGGAAAAAAATGTGCCTGAAACAATTATTATCTCTTTTTTCTTGAATATTTCTATTAATGTACTGTAAGGGGCCCGGAGCAGTAACCTATCAGCTAAAGTCTTCACCTTACACATGCCGGAATCCCATATGGGCGCCAGTTCTAATCCCAGTGGCCCTGCTTCCCATCCAGCTCCCTACTTGTGGTCTGGAAAGGCTGTCAAGGATGGCCCAAAGCCTTGGGACCCTGCAGACGTGTGGAAGACCTGGAGGAAGTTCCTATCTCCTGCTTTTGAATCGGTTCAGCTCTGGCCATTGTGGACACTTGGGGAGTCAATCAGCGGATGAAAGATCTCTCTGTATATCTGACTTTACAATTAAAAAAAATAATAAATCTTTAATGCACAGTAAGGTTTGGGAAATTATTTTGGTAAAGGGCAATCTCTTAGGCTTTGCATACCACAAATGGTACCTGTTGGATATTCTTCTCCATTTTTGGTCAAACACTTCTTTTACAATGCAGCCGGCTTATAGGATGTACAAAAATAAGCCATGGATTTAATCTGGCTTACAGTCCAAGTTCGTGGTATCTAAAGTTTGCCTACCTCTCCAACAACCAAAACTTCTCTCTTTTTCTTTTCTAAGATTTATTTATTTTTATTGAGAAGTCACATCAGATTTCTTAAGAGGAGAGACAGAAAGATCTGCTGGTTCACTCCCCAAACGACCACAATGGCCAGAGCTGAGCCGATCTGAACCCAGGAGCCAGGAGCTTCTTAACGGTCTCCCATGAGGGTACGGAGTCCCAAGCTTTTGGGCTGTCCTCTGCTGCTTTCCCAGGCCACAAGAAGGGAGCTGGAAGGGAAGTAGAGCAGCTGGGATACAAACTAGTACCCATATGGGATCCTGGCACAGGCAAGGAAAGGACTTTGGCCTCTAGACTATTGTGTCTGGCCCTATATTACCTAACTTATAAAATTGAAACATTAAACATGGTAGGTAGTTCAATTTAGATGTGTTGTAAATACAAAA